GGGTCACTATGAGTCGGAACCGACTCCACGGTACTTAACAACAATTACTTTGTGTGAGCTCTGATAGCATAGTGGCTATGAATCAGGCTGCGAACCATAAGGTGAGCAGTTCGAAACTACCAGCTGTTCCGTGGGAGAAAGATGAGGCTTTCGGCTCCTGTAAAGATTATAGCCTTAGAAACCCTGTACAGGGTTACTATGAGTCGGAACCAACTCCATGGCACATCACCCCCACCATTATTTTGCGAGTAAATCTCCAGGACTTTCTTCCAAGATGCTCCTGGGTGGACTAGATCCACCAACCTGTTTGTTAGCAGCCGAGCACGTTAACTGTCTACACCACCCACGCACTACTAACAATAGAAGAAAAATTGTTACTACATGCTATTGAGTCAGTTTCGATTCATAGCAACCCTGTATGGGATTTCCAACGAACGGCTGATAGTCTTGAACCGTGGAGTTTGCAGTTTGCAGTCCAGTGTTTATTCTCCAGAGCCATACCAGGACTCCTCATTGCAGCAGAAAAATTGTTGTTGTTGTGAAGTGCTGTCAAGTTGATTCCAACTCATAGTGACCCTGTACAGAGTTTCTGAGAGCAGCTGGTGAGTTTTAACCGCTCATCTTGTGGTTCAAACCGATCTTATGGCCCAGTGCTCATCCTACAGGGTAACACCAGGACTCCAGCAGAAAAATTAAGGTCTTACTTATAACACCTTTCGTTATCTTTCATCCTGTTTCACACAAAAAATAACTGAGCACATCAAAATAAAAGATTTGAAATCTAATTCAAATTAGAAAACAAACAAAAAGTTAGAGAAGAATCAAGAAAGCAGTAGAAACTCTCTTAACCAAAATCCAGCTAACATACTCACTGGATCACCAAATTAGGCAACCCTCCATTCCCTCTGGAATCAGGCATAGACGTGGCGCTGTGGGTTAATGCGCTGGACTGCAAAGTCGGTTTGGACTCCAAGGTCAGTGGTTCAAGCTTACCAGCTGCTCCTCAGAAATTCTCAGGGTCGATATGAGTCAGAACTGACTCAACGGCACTTAACAACAACAACACATACCAGGGAGACTTCAAAAAGTTTGTGGAAAAGTTGAATTAAAAGGTAATGAAACATTTCTACAAACTTTTTGAAATGTCTTCATACTTTTGTTTAAATTTTGATTAGCCCACTATTTCAATCACATCAGAGAAGAGAGTTACACAGTAGATAATTTTTTTCCAGACCCATTTCATGAAACCATAAGATTCATAGGATAGATTTTTTTCAAAAGCAAAAGAACTTGAAGAAATTAAAGACAAATAAAATGGAATGACTTAGATTTCAAACCATGTGCCTAGTAAATCCAGTGAGTTCAAAAATATACCTCAAATTCAAGGAAATCGGTGAATGACACTGTTGGGAAGAACTGAACTCATTATAAAGTGCAAGCACATTTCCTATGGAAAATGCAATAATTTATTTCTTTACTATGAGATTTCCAGCAAAGAATGCTCTATGACCTGAATGTCTACCGGTGACTGGCCGCTTACTCTACCCAACAGAAGATATGCAAGCAAAGAGGAAGCACACTGTCTAGAAAAAAATAGACAATTTCCTTTTATTTCCTCTTCAAAATAGAACAACACTTCTTTGGGGAGCATATCAGGGACTTGTAACAATTCACCACACAACAGTTTCCATTCTCATAGCCAGTAAAAATGAGAATGCCTGAGAAACTATGAGGATGGTTCGCATTTCCAGAAAGACAAGGGTTTCTGTGGTGAAACTCTCAAACGGGATTCTCACCCAGCATAAACATCAGGTGCTTGGAATCCAGATCCCCAGAATGAGTTGTTGTTGTTGTTAAGTGCCATCAAGTTGGTTCTGACCCATAGTGACCCTGTATAGTTTCCAAGGAGCACCTGGTAAGCTTGAACCGTCAACCTTGTGGTTCAAACTTTGCAGTTTAGTGCATTAACCCACAGAGCCACACCAGGACTCTAATGAACAAGTAAAAAACAAAACTTACACATGATACCTTTAAATTGCTCTGTATTCTACACCATCTTGTTCAAAACAACATTATGTATGAGAAAGAGTTATTGTTGTTAAGTGCCGACGAGTCGATTCCGACCCACAGCGACCCTATATAGGGTTTCCAAGGCTGTAAATCTTGACGGGAGTAGAAAGCTTTATCTTTCTCCTGCAAAGCGGCTGGTAGTTTCAAACTGCTGACCTTAAGGTTCGCAGCCCGATTCATAACCACTACGCTACCAGAGAAAGAGTGCTGGGCTATAAAGTCATAGAGATAAACTAAAATCAAAGGTGCAAACTGAGGGAAACTGAAATGCTAGCAGGAGCAAATTGGAAGAACTCGGTGGCCAGTTATAGAGTCATAAAAAGTTTCTGAGAAAAGCAGGGACATCCTTGTAGGATACCTAGAGAGATTATTGGGTGAACATTTTGGGATGGCCCAAAGCTAGAGGCAATGAAAGGTAGACAGACCAGTTAAGAGGCCATACTTGACAGGGGCTATTGTGGTAACTTCCATTTGCATTTGTTTACAATTTGTTTTATTTCATTTTAGCAACACTACTCTCATGACTTCAAAGAACCTGTTTATTTTCTATTATGTTGCCCAGTAGATAACTTATGTAAGTTTTCCTTATTGCTAAGTTCAATAGAGTAGAATGCCCTTTACAGAGTTCTCATGCTTAGAAAGTGGCAGATTTCAACTCGTATTTGATATGCATGCCAATATCAACTTAGCCAACAATGTGCTCACCACAGTATAATGAAAGCAGCACATCTTAACTTCTGGGATGAAGACAAAAAAAAGGGCCCTGCTAGCTTTCTCCTCATTTGTCAGAACATGCTCTCTGGGAGCCCTGAATACATGTAAGAAAGCAGACTCACCCTGAGACTGCCAAGCCAGAGAGGTCACGTGTAGACCACATAGTCAACACTCCCTCATGTGCCCAGACTTCCAGCCAATACTTCAAAAAAGTCAGACTCATCAGTAAAGAAGCTTCCAGATTTTAAACTCAGACATCAAGTCATCCTCAGTCACCTGAATCTTCCCAGCTGAAACCCCAGACACCCTAGAGCAGAGAGATGAGGCTTTGTGGCTCTGTGCCCTATCCACATTGTTGACCCAAAGAATCCATGGTTTAAAAAGCAGCAATGGATAACTGGAGCTGTAGATGCAACAAGGGAGGTGACATACCCACTGTTATGGGGCCCATACCTGGAAGATGATATTTCATTCTGGGTGACATATTTCAAAACATTAGGAAACCAACATGCTCAGGAAAGGATATTAAGAATCTCCCTTTATGAGAAATAATAATGAAAAAGACTGGAGATACTACTCAAGATCATCAAGAGAACAAAGGAAAGGACCTTTGTTCATTGTCCTCAAACATTTATAGGGCTATCTTGAATAAAAGTGAAACTACTTCCTTAGTATATTCCCACTAGGAATGCTGCCAGTATAGGAAGAGTTACGTGTTCAGCAGCTAGTAGAAAGGTTGGTGGTTTGAATCCACCTAGCCACTCCGCTCAGAAAAGGCTGGAAGTCTACTCTATGGAGTATTCTACTCTGTCACACGGGGTTGTTATGAGTCAAAGATCCACCTGATGACACCTAAAAGCCACACGTTAAGGACTGCGAATGGCTACTCCAGGCTACTCCACGGAGTCAGATGGAAGAATTTTCTAATGTTCAGAGCCTAGTTAAAAAAAAACCCAAAAAAAAGGCAGCCTTAAGAGGTAGTGAGTTCTTGAACATTAAAGGCAATCAAGTATATGGTGGATGATCACCACCTGGTGGGTATGTTTGGAGAGAATGCATTCATTGAATGGAAGATTGAATAAATGACCTTTCTTTAAGGTACTCTGTAACATTGAGATGTTTTTAATCTAAAGATCATCCCCGTTTCCTTGTGCTAAGAAATCTAATCCCAACACATGTTGAGCAGAGGAAAAAAAAAAAAATACAAGATGAATAAATTAAATGAAAGGCAATACCAAAGTATAAATAGAAAGCGATGCAGAACTCGAGGAGAAGGAATGGCAAACTAACAGTAAACTATAATGGAGTGTACATAGCAGGAAAGAAATGAAAGAAAAAAATATATATAGGGCATGAAGATTAAGCGAGGCAGATGGAAAAAGGAAAGCCAACACACTCATCACAGACTATGCTGAGGACAGAGAATCACCTTGCCTTTTTTGAGCAATGGTTCTGTTCATCTTTAAGGCTGTTTCTCCTCTGTTGGTGTGGAAGACCAGAGGGTCCTGGAGAGTGTAGCAGAAAAGGGAACACGGTTCCAGTCGTAAAATTAGCATTGCTCTTTAGCAATTGCATAATTTCTGGCTTCAAAGGATCCGGGATCCCTAAGACTATTGGTCAAGCGCATTTGCAGGGCTGCAATTGTCTCTAACATCAGTATGTGGCAAAGCAAGAAAAACTGGAAAAATGAACCCCATTTTATAATGAAGTCAGGGTAAAAAAAAACCACAAGCCACCTAGAAAAAGATGTTTCCACCACAAAGCCAGGGAGGAAATGAAAAAAGAAAATGGTTAAAAAGTTATCTCATACACATTTCATCTGCATTTTATCAACATTTGTAATCAACTTCCAAGGTTTCATAATACCCTTTAACCTTAGTTAAATTACTCAATCCAGCAAACAAGTCATCTCATTGTTACCCTAGTTGAAGGAAGAGTGGAGACTCTTTTCATGTTGATAAGAAATAGAAAAGAAGTCACTCCCAGGAAAGAACACTGTTGACTAAACTCCTGGAGTCTAATGGTTAGAAGCCCTGATAATCTGTCGCTTGCCTTAACCCTTTCAAAGATTCATCAAACCAGAAGTTAGAAATGCATGCCATGGGTGAAATAACAGCAAGTTTTTTCATTAAATAATTAAAAGCAAAAACAACAACACAGAGATTTTTCTTTACAAAACAAAAGAGAAAAGACAGAAGCCGTATCTTATTACTCACCCATTTCCTAGGTCTGCCTCTTGGCCGTTTTTCTCCAGTAGCTTCTGCTTTCTGAAAAATGAAAAAGGAAGTCATATAGCTTCTACCTGACATTATTTATATGTGCTGCACCAAGGGACACATTTCAAGCAAGAATGTTCTGGCTGGCGGATGAGGGAAAAGGATTGTTTTAACAACCTCTTCCTAGTTTCAGGTTCATTTTTGAGTAGACTGTTCTTCCCACGTTTTTCACTGGATTATACAGAGCCAGAATCCCAAAATCTCACCCTAAAAGATGGCAAGCTCCTCTGAAATATATGAAAATACCTTTAAAAAGCCATTTTCTTTTCTTTTTGCCCATAATTTAAAATAATAACCCTCACAATTGTACAAATTAGCATTTCTAATAACGAATGCTTCTTAAATGAACAAGACTTTCTTTCCATGTTGTAACTAACTAAAGCTACAAAATGCATATTGATGTATTACTTTAGCACTTCCACTAGTCCAAAGCATATCTAAATGTTAAAAATATGTAAGCATTTTAATTCAAAATAACAAATATTTGCTCACTTCTGCAGTGCTAACTCCCCATGCCTTTTCAAAAGCAATTATGTGTCCATCAGTTCATCAATCTAATGATTCTAGTGACCTAAAGCAGAGGGGAAAATAAAGGAAGGAAAAACAAAATCTGGCAGAGATGGAAATTACAGGTCTCTAAAAATAACCATTAATTTCAAAATACACATTATTAATTACAGTTTCACATGAAACAAACATAAACCTGACAAGAATCTACTTCTCACAACCTTGAGAGTGTGTTCTTGTTCTACTTGAACATATTTTTCTAGCACCAGCTGATTTTCCCCTTTTGAATTAAATTTTCCATCATCTACAAAGTAAATTTATCTTTGTCACCCTTCCTCCAACCTCAAATATACACCAACACATACACACATACATCACATACACTTATAAAAACATATGCTTCTTTCTACATTTTTAGGATAAAGAAATTTTAGTACACATTGTCTTGTGCATGAAGTCCTGATGTGGCTCTGTAGGATCAGCACCAGACTGGGAACCACAAGATCAACATTTCAAATCCACCAGCTGCTCCTCGGAAACCTGATACACAGTTCCTACAAGTTGGAACTCACTAGACCACACTTAACAACAATAACAAATCATGTGTATAAGAATCATTTCATTCCAGAACTATTCTCAGCACACACACATACACACACAAAAAAAACCCAAAACAAAACAAGAAAGTTTAATACATCAGAACTAGGATAATTTGCATTGTCATTTACTTTTGTCACCTGAGTCAACAGTTATTAAGTGCTGCCTAGTCAGTTCCGACTCACAGTGACCCTGTATAAGTTTTCCAAGGAGCTTCTGGTGGGTTTGAGCCACCAGCCTTGTGGTTCAAACCGACCTTTAGGTCCAGCGTTTATCCTACAGTGCCACACCAGGGCTCCTGAGTCAACAATAGTAGTAGCAGCCAAGGACTATAGACAACATGACTGTGACTCAGGGAGACCCTGTATAGGGTTTCCAGGGAGCAACTAGTGGATTTGAACTGCCAGCCTTGTGGTTCGCAGTCCAGTGCTGATCCTACAACACCACACTAGGAGTCTGAGTCAACAGTAGTTGGTACAAGAATACTAAACTGCAAACCACAAGGTGGGAGGACGGTCGGAGCCCACCAACCTCTCCAAGGGAAGGGAGAAAGATGAGGCTTTCTCCTCCTGCAAAGATCTACAGCCTCAGAAACCTACAACAGCAACTAATACACTGCGCCAAATGAGAATCTCCTTTCTCGCAGCAATCTGCTGAGTAAAAATAAATACACGAGGAAGCTTCAAAAAATTCCTGGTAAATTGGAATTGAATGATAATGGGATTTTTCATGAACTTTTTGAAGCTCCCTCTAGATGATAAAGTAAACTCTTGCCAGATAATATCCCTCTGATTTGGCATTACTATTCTATGAGTTAACCCAAACTCTATTAACACTAACATTACCAATAACCAGTGGTCATTGAGTCGATTCCAAATTATGGCAACCCCTAGTGTATCAAGGAGTCCTGGTGTTGCACTGTGAGTTAATGCGCCAGACTGCAAAGCCTTTTGAACTGCAAGGTTGGCAGTTCAAGCTCACCAGCTGCTCCTCAGAAACCCTACACAGGGTAGCTATGGGTCAGAATCGACTCCACAGCAACAAAAGTGTATTAAGGTGGAACTGTTCAGTGGCTTCATTTTGTTGGAAGTAGACTAGCAGGCTTTTCTTTCAAGGTGTCTCTGAGTGGATTGAACTATCAGTTTTTCAGTAAGTAGCTGAGCTAGTGAACCTTTAAATCTCATTTACTGAGGATTGAAAATGCTGCAGGCACTGGCCTACATCAGTCTAATTTGTAACATTTAATCCTCACGATCTTCCTGAGAGGTGAAAAAACCAACCAAATAAACCCATTACCAGTGAGTCAATTCTAAGTCATGGTAAGACTACAGGGCAGAATAGAACTGCCCAAAGCGTTTCCGACACTGAAGTCTTTTTGGAAACAGACATCTTACACCCATAGAACAACTGGTTGGTTTTGAACTAGAACTTTAGGTTCGCTACCGAGTACTTAACCACTGTTTCACCAGGGATCCTTCCTTACAAAGTTATTGTTGCTGTTAAGTGCCATCCAATTGCTTCTGACTCATAGCAGCAACCCTAGGTAGGATTGCGGTGTAGAGTTGGTGGGTTTGAACCGCTGACCTTGCAGTTAACAGTCCATTGTTGTTGTTGTTAAGTGCCCTCGAGTCCATTCCAATCCATAGTGGCCCTGTATAGGGTTTCCGAGGAGCAGCTGGTGAGCTTGAACCGATGACCTTACAGTTTAAACGGCTAGTCTGATGCATTAGCCCACAGAGCCACACCAGGACTCCAGAGTCCAGTTGTTGTTGTTAAGTGCCGTCAAGTTGGTTCCGACCCATAGCGACCCTGTATAGGGTTTCCAAGGAGAGGCTGGTGTGCTTGAACCGCCGGGAAATACTCTTTCTCTTGTTTTGTAAATGAGAAAATGAGTCTTAGGCAGATTAAGTAAATAACTCACCCAAGGTCACACACAAAGTTGGTAAGCAATAGAGCTGGTATCTAAACCCAGTTCTGTTTGCCTGTGTTTCGACTCTCCTAATAATACTGACTCCTTATTACACAAGCATTTGCTATCATAAGAAAATATTGTAGGAAACCTGGTAACCTTTAGGAGTTCTACTTGTCAGATCAGGGTTTTACTTTTGAATGGCTGCTTAATTGTCAGGGTTGAGTGGGATTGTCATTAGTTTTATTAGAAGGAATTAATTTTAATGAAACCCTTGTGCACTTGTGAATCACACTTTCTTTCACATTACTGTCTCAGGAAGAGAAGGGTTCTGACCGAAACAGATGCTACTTTGGAAAGCACAGGTTCAAATCTCTACTCTTGTCATTTCAGCTTTGAGCAAATCCCCAAACACCGTGATGTCCTTTCATCTGTAATATGTACCTAACTTCTCTTGTAAGGAGTCATCGAGGTTCTTAAAAAGTGTCAGAGGTACGTACAGATTGCTCAATAAATCCTTTCCTCCTAAAAAGGTGAACTCCTAAAAGGGGGAAGTTTTCTTACACGTTAACACAATCTCATAGATGGTTCCGTCCAAGAACTCTTTCATTGTACTCATCTGTCACCATTAGAAAGAAGCTTTGAAGAAACTCTGGCTAAAGCATAGTTGAGTTTTGAGTAGAAAATCTGTCCAACACAGGTGCAGCATCTGATTTAATCTTTGGGGGAGGGGGGGAGGGCCACTGTAAGGCTGCAGTTTACCCAGTAATAAATAACACAAACAAATAAGCTAAAAGTGCTTCTCCATGGAAATCCTGCGGAGGTGGGAGCGTAAGGAAATGAGGGTAGCCTTGACTGTAAGGCTGAAGGTACGGCACCAGCACTTTTTTATATAGTTGTTGTTTCAGGGGCTATGATGTGATCTGGGTGTATCTGAACCTGTTGGAAGGAAGGTTGCTTTCTAAAAGGGTTTCACTGCATTTCTAAGCCAGGGAAAATAAATCCCTCAAAGAAAGCAAGCCCTGCAAATAAGACAATTTTCAAACGGGCAGTTCATTTACAGAAGACCTTTTCAAAAATAAAATTCGCACCATTAACTAAAGGGCAAAATAACACAATTATCACTTAGACTTGTTAAAAGCAAACTTGCTCCTTAGTCATTCAGGCCAGTGTTACATGTAAACTGAAACCCTCTTCTGAGACTACATCTAGAAGAAACACATTAACTGTGCTATGTGGCGTCGATCTGGGAGGTTTTCATTGTTCTTGAAAACCCACAGTATTTAATCATTCTAATCAAACTCCACAAAACTTGCAAAGTAAGCCAGGATTTTAGTTTGTAAACCAGCATAGGTCCAAGATTTTTACTTATCAGAAAACAATTGACATTGGCTCCCCCCCACCCCACCCCACCCCTCCTTCCTCTCCCCGTGTTTAATGCTCTTTAAGATATTGTTTTTCAATAAAAGAAAAAAAATCATCAAGGGGTTTGTGTTGTTTCTAAAGTCAACATACACAATACTGCAAAAGTGTATATTTGGTTTTCCTTTGCCAGAGAAGACTCTGGTTCTATACTACAAACTCATGTGTAATGGAGATATAACTAATGGACATGGTGGGGAGGGGAGGAGGAGGGATCTAGAGACAAAAACTTCTGCATTGATGAGAGCTAAACACTTACAAGACTATTATCATCACTGTTACACTAATATTTTAACTATCGTCAACATTGTCTAAAAGACTGATCTTTCTTGCTTGCTTCTTCTAATCATATTTTTGCTTGTTTAAGTGTAGATTTAGAATTGTACATCAAATTTTATAACATGCTTTAAAATCAAATTCATAAAGGTATGTATGGATGGATAAATGTTAAATGCAATTATTTCTTTCTCTAAGACGTTCTGATAGCTCAGTTCTTAAATGTGCTCCACAGTTTAAACAGAGAGAGAAAGAGAGAACTTTTAAGAAATAAAATTAA